CTGCTCCCTTTGGGGTCTATCCTGAGGAAACATGGTCTTTCGTTTCATTGTTATACTGATGATTGTCAAATTTATCTGCCCTTAAAACCCAATAGTTCTTGCCTCTTCACCCTCTGTTAAAATGTCTTGATAACATCAAGACACGGATGGCTTCAAATTTTTTAAGTTTCAATGATCGCGTCGCGTTTAGCCCTAGCTCTACTGCTGTATTTTTCTGTAAACCGTAACTCTCTTGAGCTATATCTTAAACAGTCCGTTACCCTAACACCAGACAGAGGTCCATTCAATTTTTTTTATTAGGGAATGAAAAGGTTGACGCCAACACCAACCTGTCAAGAAGGGGTCATCAACCAAAAATGACCGATTGAGTAAGTAGGACATTATTCAGAGAAACAACTAGGAGCACAAAGAAAACCCTGATGGAGCAGAGATGGAAGAATCTGTTCAAAGGACCACTACAAGCAGCACAGAGCTTGTCCTCATAGATGAGCAGCAGGAAATTGGTTTTAAGCTAAAAATTGATTGACATTTCTTCAAACTTGGAAATAGACGCTCTTGTTATATAATAATAATAATAATAATAATAATAATAATAATAATAATCCATCCATCCATTATCTTTTACCCGCTTCTTCCATTTTGGGTCACGGGGGTCACTGGTGCCCATGTCCAGTAATCACTGTGCGAGGGGCGGGGTACACATTGGATGGGTCGCAAGTCCGTCACAGGGACACATAGAGACAAACGAGACAAACAACCATTCACTCTCTCACTCACACCTAGGGACAATTTAGAGTTACCAATCAGCCTAACATGCATGTTTTTGATCTGTGGGAGGAAACTGGAGTACCCAGAGATAACCCACGCATGCACGGAGAGAACATACAAACTCCACCCAGAAAGGCCCCTGGACCGAGGTTTGAACCGGGGACCTGCTCGCTGAGAGGCAGCAGCTCTACCAGTTGCGCCACCGTGCTGCCCCTTAATAAAAATAATAATAATAATAATAATAATAATAAAAATAATAATAATAATGTGTATTTATTGTCATCATTGTATGTTCCCATACAATTTCAAAATTGGCCCTCTGCATTTAACCCATCAACTCCCAGGTGGAGCAATGGGCAGCTATTGAAGGTGCTTGGGGATCATTTGGGCATAAGGTGTCCTGCTCAAAGGCACCACGAGATGTGCAATGACTGAGATCGAACTTGGTACTTTCGTGTCCAGAGTCAGTTGCCCTTCCTCTGCACCATCTCAGCCATATACGAGGGGAAACTCAAATTTTTAGGATATCAGTGACACCATGTCAGAGGCAAATCTATCAGCTCTTATCACATTTAACACTGTTCCCATAGTGAAGCATGGTGGCAGTGGCATCATGCTGAGGGGATGTATTTATTGGCAGGAACTGAAAACATGGTCAGAATTGAAGTAAAGGTGAATGGAGGAAAATGCACACAACTTCTTGGGAGGAACTTGGAGTCTTCTAAAGATTTGGGTCTGGGATGAAATCCTACCTTTCAATAGGACAATGACCCTGCTGAGGTAACACTCCGATATTTTAGCAAGAACCAGTTGACAGTCCGGGCTTGGCCCAGTCTAAGCCCAACCTTCAATTCAACTGAGAAACTCTGATTTGATTTCAAGATTGCAGAACACAAACGGCATCTGTCAAACCTGAAAGAGCTGGAGCAGTTTTTCCTGAATATTTAATATTTTAATGTAGAATTATTGTTTTTTAATAAAAAGAAAAATCCAGTTAAATTTCTGGTTATAATGGAAAGAAAAATATGGAAAACCAAGAGAAATGAAAAAGTTTGCAAGCCAATATTAACAGTTGATAGAATAGAAGCAGTAAAACAGGTTATCATCAGTACTCAAACTTTTGGGTACTTGCTTTTGTTTTTAAAATTGTTTCACAAAATGTTAATGCACAATTTCAAACACCAACAACCTAAACATAGTCAATCATAACTAACAAACTATTTAGGACAAATAAAGTATATTTATGAAAGCTAGAGTGGCTAAACAGTAGAAAATGCACTTAAACAAAAACACAATTTTATCTCAGTGCCCCGTTAGTAAAATCAGTGATCAACGGTTAATGTGTTGTTTGTCACTTTATGACTTTTTAGGCTGTATGATAAGAAAATATAAAACCTTTAAGTAAAAAGTATTAGTAATTCAGTGAACTGTCATTTATTGCAAAAGAGAAAAAAGATGAGAAGGAAACAGATTCTTACCAAAACCCCCACAACAGCTCAACTTTTTATTTTTCACGAGATCGTGGTTTTTTTTTTTACATAAGAGTCTACAAAATTTTTGCAACAGAATGTAGGAAGCAGGAAGTGGACTACAGCGCAGGGCAAACGTGCATTTCTCTTACCTCATACAAAGCCGTCAGCCGCCTTGTGTGAAAAACAACATTCTCCATGGTCTTCTGCCTCATCTTTTGCTCATGCTGAGTCCATTGATGAAAAATGACAAAACAGAAATCTTAAAACCACTAAAATTTGATGCCACTCCGTTTTTGTTTTTATTTCCAGAAGAAGAAGAACTGTCTTCTTCAGAGGTTTTTGTGTTGTTTTTTTTCAGTAGTTCTTGGTGCATCGCCACCACAGGCGAGGGGGGGGGGGTGGGGGGACAGGTTGGATCGATTGACAGTGAGTGTGAATGCAAACCACACCAGCTGAAATGTAAACAGAGTGCTATGAATATTGGTCCCCAATAGAACCGAGTCTACTGGACTATCAGGTGTGAAAACACCCTTGGTTTCACTGGTCCATTAGGGATGGGGGGGACTTTGTTTTCCCCTTCCTCGTTGTGTCCCCATGGAAGGGGGCACAGTGCAGGAGGAATATAGTAATTGATGACTTCCTGGTAGGCTACTGTATTTTTTTTAACCAGCCATCTTACAGGCACTGTTCAGAAAAAAAATAAATAAATACTGTATTTGTTTTAGGGTTCATTGTGGTTGACTGCTGGTCACGCAGCCTCAGGGAGGGATTATGGGTAAAATTGATGTTCATTTTTAGTCATTTCAGTTAGCTGCTTAGCATTGTTCTTTTCGTGATTAGTCTATTCTTGTTAGCATAGTTCATGTGTTCATCATGTGTTAGTTTGTGTTAGACCATTCAGTAGAGTAACCACGAGAGAGGTAGTCGTCATGTAGATCTGTGGGGTTCACTCTGTCTGTGTTGAACAGTAAGAAAAAGTCTATAAGACGTGAACTGGTGGTTGATTCTTGATCTACAACAAGAGCTCTCCATCTCTCTCATTAGCTGTGCACTGCCACACTACATTATTTAATTAAAAGTTTAAAAAACATTTCTGTGTAAATATCTCGTTACATCGTGACCACCCGTAGCTTATAGACAAGTGTGGCCTATGTATTTTTTTTTTCTTTAAAAATTTAGTGGGTACAGCTTATTGTCAGGTGTTCTTATTAGTCCAGAAATTACAGTAAATGTTTAAACCTAAGAATTTGTATAATTTTCAAAATCAAAATTTGGATTTTATGCCAACAACAGATCTCAAAATCAGTGTGAAAAGGGCAACATCTAGCCTGTAAAATCTTGTGTAGAGACCCACATACTCATTTCCACTTAGTTGATTTACATTTTTTCCTGTTCTTCCCTTTAGGACCACTATGACTGGGGCCTCCGAGCCATTAAGTCAGTGCTGGTTGTGGCTGGCTCTCTTAAAAGAGCAGACCCCGACCGAGCCGAGGACCAGGTTCTCATGAGAGCTCTGAGAGATTTCAACATTCCCAAGATCGTGACTGACGATGTGCCCGTGTTCATGGGCCTCATAGGAGACCTGTTTCCCTCTCTGGATGTCCCCAGGAAAAGAGACCTGGACTTCGAGAGACATGTGAAGCAGTCTGTTCTGGACTTGAAATTACAGGCCGAGGACAATTTTGTACTGAAGGTAGATCACTCCCGACAGCCTTCATGTTTGCTGCTACTGATCCAGTTTTAATTGCAAATGAAAAGAAATGATGGTCTTTGCTGAGTTTGACACTAAATCAGAAATGAAGGAAAACATAATCACACACTGTATGAGAAATAAAAGCCATGTTCCCAAATGGGGCTTTCGCCTTCAACAATTTTGACAGATATTACTATTGCAGTACTTTAATTTAGATTTATCTTAGTTCTCAACAAAAGCTATTTACCTCACGTCATAATGTTCTGTGGGGAAATACACATTAGTGTCAAACAAAACTGCAGCATCTGGATGAATTGGGTAAATATTGCCAAAAGCCAATGGTTAGCTGTGTTCAGGTGCCCGAGATGATGACCTAATTCCAGTCATTATATCACACACATACACATACACACAACAGAAGGTGTTATGTGTCAGAGGTAGAAGTACACAGGACCAAGGGAAATAAGTGCAATCTGCCTTAGGTCAAATAGACACGGGAACCACATAATAACACTCCATCAACGAATGCTAGCACTACACCACGCCACTTAACCCTGACTTTGTGAGAGACAGCAGAGAAAAAAAACAAAGAGGTGGTGAAACAGAGCGAGAGAGGGAGGCAGAATGGCAGGGCGGTCAATATCAAGCGTCCACCCTCAGAGCATGAACTTATGCTGCCTTTGTTTGGATGCCGAGCCTTTCGATTTCAGGCAAGGCCGTACAGGCCCCGTGTCTTTAGCATTAGCTGCTGTTAGCTTGTGCTCCCACCCACAGACCAAAGCAATAATCAGGCGAGGCCTTTGAGAGTGCAGAGCCTCCTGCGTTCGTGCTGAATAAATGGAGCAAGGAACTCTGTCGATAGCTTTGATTCGATGAACCTCTGAATGTTTGGGAGGAAGTGATGAGAAACTCTCCCTTTCTTCCACTTTCTCTCCCAGTCATTGTTTTTTTTCTCTTTGGAAGTAAAGTGGTACACTGAAAAAAGTTACTAAAACTTCACACACATCATATACATTAATTCCTTAAGCACTCAGATAGAATGGTACAATCTGGCTGTAATTTAGTCCACATAGAGTCCAGTGATGGGCATGTGAATGATTCAGTTCCCAGGGAGCTAGGTCTCTGAAATCAAGCTGCATAATTGACTGTTCATAGTTTTGTCGGTTATTTGCTGGAAAATCCAGCAGTCAGTCAAAAGAGTGGATTAAGGTCAGCAGACAAAGGATACCTTGTAGAAACATTCAACAGAATTAACACCTAATGAAATTTGATAGGGTCATATTGTGAGTTGGATGAGGCCAGGTTGTTGTACCACACATTGTCCCAGCCCCATGGGCTGTACAGACTTAATAGTTAGCTGAAGTTGGAACCAATGAAAATGTGAGGACACCCAAACATGTGAAGGTTCTGGTCACCCTAAACAGACACCACCAAGGGACGATTGTTGTATTGAGAGTCAAGCATTACAGAGTCCAATGACTTCTGCACCTTCTATCTGGCACAATTAATGTACTGTTTCCAACACCTTCTAAACCACATTTATATGAATTTCCATCAGTCCAACTACAGGTTCAATATCCCATTTGTAGGCATCAACAATGGAGCAGAGACAGTTGAGTTTAAAGTGGTGCTGGAACCAAGAGACCTGGACTGATGATGAAGTGGCATTGTGTGACACCGATGGATCTTGGTTCTAATTGTGTGACTTGCTGTTTAACTTATTGCTAGCACTTACAAATACTTATTTTTTGTAAAAAATTCCAATTTTAAAGAAACAACAGAAATGCTTTTTCTTCATTGTCTGTGTTTTTGACTAATTAGAAATCTGACTTTTATAATAAATGTAGACTCCTCCGTCCATCCATTCATCTGTCTGTATGTCTGTCTGTCCATCTATCCATTCATCCATCCAAATTCACACGCTTCTTCCTTTTTGGGGGTCAATGGTGCCCATATCCAGCAGTCACTGTGCGAGAGGTGGGGTACACCTTGGACAGGTCTCCAGTCCATCACAGGGACACATAGAGACAAACGACCATTCACTCTTACTCTCATCTAGGGACAATTTAAAGTTACCAGTCAGCCTAACATGCATGTTTTTGGTCTGTGGGAGGAAACCGGAGTTCCTGGAGAAAACCTACGTATGCACGGAGAGAACATGCAAACTCCACCCAGAAAGACCCCCGGATCGGGATTTGAACATTTCAATTTAATTCAGTTTATTTATGTAGTGTCAAGATACAACAGAAGTCATCTCAGGGCACTGCACATTTATATATAAAAATAACAAGTTAACATTATTTATCTAAGAAGCAGACTGCTTTGAGTTTAATTCCATCACTGAACTCTCATCTTGAGCAAGCATGAAAGCAACAGTGGAAAGTAAAAACTCCCTCATGAGGAAGAAACTTTTAGCAGAACCAGGCTCAGGACAAGCAGCCATCTGCTTCGAATGGCTTGGTTTGAGAGGAACAGGAAGGAGGAACGGATACACAAAGGCAGGTCAAGAATCACATGTTAAGAAAAAAATAGTATAAAAATGAAAACTATTCAATTTTAATAATTATTTTAAGAAAATTAGGTCAATTTGTCTTCCAGTAGTCTAAGCCTCTGGCAGCATAACATGCCAACCCTAAGTATATATTATCAAAAAGGAAAATCTTAAGCCCAGTTCTAAAACTGGACAAGTGTCAGCCTCACGGTATACAAACTCCACCCAGACAGGCCCCCAGACAGGATTTGGTCCGGCGACATTCTTGCTGAGAAGTTGCAGCTCTACCATCTATGCCACTGTGATGCCAAATGTAGACTTGTATCACTACATATATCTGCTGTTTTACGAGGTTCACCACATTAAAGCCCAGTGCTGTGATTCAGAATTAAACTCTGTACTGTCAGCATGAAACAAGTTATTATCTCTATAAACCATACTGAAAACAAGATGCAGCAGAATGATCACCAAAATGTTTGTGAAATTATTTTAAAGAATGTTACATTTTATGTCAGTCTTTCTGAAAAATGTTTGTGTGTGTGTGTGTGTGTGTTAGGTCGTGCAGCTGGATGAACTACTGGCTGTGCGTCACTCTGTGTTTGTGGTCGGAAATGCTGCCACTGGGAAGAGTCAGGTAATGAGATCACTCCATCGGACCTATCAGAACATGAAGCGTCGGCCCGTGTGGGCAGATCTCAACCCAAAGGCCGTGACCAACGACGAGCTCTTCGGAATCATCAACCCTGCAACTCGAGAGTGGAAAGATGGTAATTACTGAGTCCTTCACAAATGACATGATTAGTTCGAAGAGCTTAATAACCCATCTCAAACTCATCTTCTCACAGGTTTGTTCTCCAGCATCATGCGGGAACTGGCCAACATTAGTCACAGTGGGCCTAAGTGGATTGTTCTGGATGGAGATATTGACCCGATGTGGATTGAGTCACTCAACACAGTTATGGATGACAACAAGGTGTGAGAAAAATCAGAATCAGAATAAGCTTTATAATCATTGCACAGAGATACAACAAGAACATGTACATGCAGTCGTCCGGAAGATGAACGGAGTGCACAAAGCTGCTGCTGCACTGAGCGCGACCTCTCATTCTTTTCAGAATAATAATCTTAGATAGGAAAAGGGGGAGAAACATGAGGGTAGATAGTGGTATTACCAAAAAAAGATCTTTCACATCTTGTCTATCAGGACATGATTTGAGACATCAAAAAAACTACCAGCAGCACAATTAAAACATGACTACATATGCATTTGACATCAAGGTGTTGAGATTTGTCTATGAGCGCTTTTCAGATCAGCCACAGTTTCTGAAGATGTTGTTTCAGCTGACAGTTCTGATAAACTTGCACAGAAAGTTCTCGTGGGGGGGGGGGGGGTAGATGAAGCTTTTTGTCCTTGGTTACCCATGACCCAGGAGAAATTTGATAGGCGGCCCATTCTGAGGCCGTCGGGAGTCAGATTCAGATAAACTTTGATTGTTGATTTTCATCAGGCGGACAGATTTTTTCTTCAGCTTTGAGTCCATCTGGACGTTCTGGTTCCGAAAATGCCTAATTGTGGGATTCCATTCCACTGATCCATGCTACGAGTCTCACTCAAGGTCAAACCCACCACGCTGACGAGTCCCAGAAGCCACAGGTGGCCTGTGATTCTCATAAATCACCTCCACCTTACGGTTTAGCTCGTAAACCAGATGATTCAGAGTTCCTACTGCATGGACCAAACCTTCACACTGACTCGGAAGCTTTGTAATGGCTGAAATTGCTGCCGATGTCTTCTCAATAATCGATAAAACAGAGCCCCGCAGATGCCAAAAAGCAGAGTCCCTGCTATCATAATTCCAAATATGTAAACATCTTCAACATCCTCCTGAGACAGGACTGAGAGACACATCAGCTGCCACACTCCCCACAGATCCATGACGTACCCCACAGCGTGCGTCTCAGCTGGACACACAGGTTCTCCAGGACCTTGTCGCTTTGAGGAAAATAACTTATCAAAAGACTTGAACGTCCAAGATACCAGATCCATAACCTTCTTAATGTACGTTCGGGAGATGTGGACCAGACACTTCAGACACAGAGAGCAGAGCAGGAGGAAGGAAAAATGGGGGAGGAAAGAAAGAAGCAACCACCTCGATCAGAGCCAGGGAGGAAAAATGTGTGACAACCAGTGGTAAAGAATTGGGATTTCTCGACTCTACCACCCCCCACCCCCCCACCACACACACACACATACACACACACACACATACACACACACACGGTCTTGTATTTCCAGTATTATGGGGATTTTGCATTGATTTCCATTAATTTCCATAGACTAACCCTGACCCTTACCCTAAACCTAACCATTACCAGTACAAACCTAATGCTAACCCATCTGCATTTCACACCTTAATCCTAAACCTAACCCCTAACGCACCAATGAGACTCATACTTATGGGGCTTGAGCTTTGGGCCCCATAAGGAGCAGTTGGTCCTCACAATGTAGTATTTGTTTGAAAAATGGGTTTTGGATATGACAAATACAATGACACCACCCCACACACACACACACACACACACACACACACACACACACACACACACACA